ATCGATGGACCCGGAATGTTGTGAGTGAAAATATTAAATGCAAAAAGGTCATAAACTGAATGCAACAACTGCATAGCAATCTACTATAAATGTTTTTTTCTTAAACGCCAGTAATTTAATGCGGCTTACATTTTCTTATTATATTTAACTATTCATATATATACTTTTTTTTTCATTTCCTAATTATAATTAATTTTGTAAAAACACTTCTTCTTTAGGCTTAAGTGTACTTAAACTACCTATCTTGATCAATATGAATTGTTTCGAAATATAATTTTTCTTGAATTATATACGTTTATGTTTGAAGGAAACATGATATACCTTAATTTCCATATGGGCACCTAAAGTATCTCACACTTCAATTATAATAAACAACAATTTAAACAAAAACAAGAAAGGAAGGAAAAGGAGCAGGCTCAACTCTTAAATACCCTGTACCACCCCACAAAAAAGTAATTAAATTAATTCATTAATTTAATTAAATTAATTAACTAAATTAAATATAAAATATTCCATGCATGCATACATACATTTACATTTACATCAGAATCGTGCCTTATGCGTGTTTGTGTACTTGTGCATATGTATGTATGTGTGCATTGGGCCTGGTTATATGGCTATAACTTTCTTTCCGATCATTCTATCATAATGAAACTTGGTATACGGATATATAATCACTAACCTAATGTGACTACCAAATTTTATTTCAAAATTCCAAGAATTACGGGAGTTATAGAAAATCGTTAATAGGGGGGGAGTGGGGGTGGTGGATCAGAAAAAATGAACAAACTCGTCCTTTCTCGGTCTCAGGTCAGTCTCTCAGACGGACATGGCTATATTGACTCGGCTTGTCATGCTGATCAAGAATATATATACTTTCTGGGGTCTACCAAGCCTCCTTCTGTGTGTTCCATGTGCACTCGCACAAAACTAATATACCCTTGTACCCTTTGGGTACAGGGTATAAAAACCGATTTCAAACTATTAACAGGCACTAAAAAGTAAAAAATAATTGCGTATTCTTCTACAAGTACAACTTAATATTCAATATATAATGTAGATACAATTATTGTTCTTTTTGGAGTCGGTGTCAGCGGTCGCGCGCCGCGCCAATCAAGAGAAAGAGGCACTTCATTACGAACCATTTCAGATTATTTTCTCTTTCTATATATACTACGTCATTCTTACGGTAATTCCTTGTGTTTAATGTTGACTATGTGGCCGAGACAATTATTAAAGGCGCGTTGTTTCTCGTTTTCAATCTAATTTTATTGTGCCGCTCTTTCCTTCAATGTGACCTTTCAACCTTATCTCGATTACACCAGAGCCTTTGACACTTAACTATTCTAGACATTTCACTAATACTTAATACTAAAACATCCATGTCACTTATACTATTTATATACTTAATACTACAACTCGGCCATCCTGACCAGGATGCTCCTGCATCCATTGTTTAACTTAAACTATACATTGCAATTTTTCCAATGTGTATTTTAAAATTTTTTTTTTTTAAATATCAATATTTTTCCAAATAGAAAGTATGTAAAAAAATTTTTTTTTTTTTTATTCATTAATTTCATCTTGCCATTGACACAAGTTTTGACTGTCTTGCTTCTTGAGGTCCAACCACGGGCGCATATTTGCTACTGCCTAAACCCCTTTATATGGAATTCTTGACTGCTGAAACCCTTCAGTATCTTCTAGCACATATCTGTCATTACGTAGTACTCTAGTTACTCTGTATGGCCCTTTAAATTTAGGAATTAACTTCTTTGAGACCCCAACGTGCGTGTCAAAGTTTTTTATCATAACTAAATCGCCTTCTTTATAATGATGCGGTTCTCGTCTCTTTTTATCCACTGCTTCTTTATTATATTCTTGTACCTTCTTCTGATGACTGTTAGCCTCTTCTCGAGTTCTCTCTAACTCTCTTTTTGGTCGCGTATCGTTCAACTCCTCTAACTTATCCTTCAACACGTCTGATACTTCCCCTTTCTGTGAAATGCCAAACAGCATTCTGCTCGGGTGTTGATTAATTGTTCTTTGAATAGTGTTGTTGAGTGTAAACTCAACTGTTTGTGGGACTGTATCCCAATGTAGGTTTTTATCAGGATTCACCAACTTGGCAATCATCGGTCCCAACCCTCTGTTAACTCTCTCAACTTGTCCATTTGCCTGTGGTGAACCTGTAGCTACCTTCACATGTTTAACGCCGTTCTGCTCTAAGAAGTTTTCAAAATCATTTGACGTAAAGGCGCTACCCCGATCGGAGACTATACAGCTTGGCTTGCTATAAGCTCTGAAATAATCCTGCAGTGATTTAACCACTTCTTTAGTATACGTCGTTTTTGTGGCATAAAGTCTAACAAACTTCGTGAAAGCGTCTATTATTACCAGTATGTACTTATTTGCTCTACCTTTATCAACTGGTCCAAAGTGATCAATATGTATTACTTCAAATGGCACTGACTGTTTCGGAATATTATGTAAGAATCCTTCTTCCGACTTCCCCGAAAACGCGATGCATTTAAGGCAATTTTGTACGTGAATATTTGCTTTTGTTCTCATGTTCGGAAACCAGTAACTTTTTGTGATCGCATCTGTCATTTTATCAATCCCTACATGGCCAAGCTCATTGTGATATTTATAGAAAACATGATTTTCCATTTTCTCCGGAACATAAAATAATAGGGTTTGTCCCTCTTTTTTTCTATATATCACGCCATTTCGCATCTCATAAAACTTATGTTCTGTCTTTTGTAACATCTCTCGCAACTTTTTTAACTTCTTGTCCCTATTTTGACAAATTATCAAATTCTCTTCAAACGTGTTTGCGTCAATTGTTAAAATATTTGCGTTTCTACTCAATGCGTCAACGTGCTGCATTCTTTTTCCCGCCCTGTGCTCTAACTTGTACTCATAGTTTTCTAATTCAAGTGCCCACCTAGCTATTCTTGGATTCAGGTCCTTCTTGTTTAAAGTCATTGTCAAAGCATTGCAATCAGTTATTTTTAGTATTTTAAAACATATACCCTGCAAGTAAATTCTAAAACGTTGAAGTGCATATATTATTGCCAGTGTTTCTAGTTCAAAACTATGATACTTCGCTTCCGTTTCTGTTGTCCGCTTTGAAAAATAAAAAACCGGGTGCATTCGTCCGTCACTTTTCTTCTGCATTAGTATTGACCCGAAACCTAATGCACTTGCATCGCAATGTAATTCCGATTGATCACCTGGGCTGTATAGGGCTAATATTGGTGCTTCTGCCAGACTCTGCTTAAGCATTTCAAAACACTCAAATTCTTTTGCCTCAAACTTAAATTATTTATCTTTCCTTACAAGGTCATACAAAGGTTTGGCTTTTGTGGAAAAATCCTTTACAAATCTCCTGAAGTACGAACATAATCCTAAAAAGCTCTGCACATCATGTACTTTTCTTGGTACAGGAAAATCTTTTACTGCCTTTACCCCTTTGTCGTCTGGCTTTATTCCCACTCCTGATATCGTATATCCTAAGTATTTTACTTCCGTCTGCAAAAATTCACATTTGTCTAATCGGAGACTTAGTTTGTTTGCTACCAGCCTTCTAAATACTTCCTCTAGTACCTCCAAGTGGCTATCGCTATCACTTGTCGCTATCATTATATCATCCATGTAAACTATGACTTTATCTGTCCTGATAAAATCTGCAAACACTTTGTTTACAAACCTTTGAAACACAGCCGGTGCATTGCGAAGTCCAAACGGCATTCGCAACCACTCATACTGTCCCATCGGTGTAGTGAATGATGTATATTTAATTGACTCTTCATGCATGAACACGTGAAAGTATCCATTCTTAAGATCTAACTTTGTAAACAAATTTTTGCCCGCCAACTTGTCTATTAGATCATCAATAAGTGGCGTTGGATAATTATCTTTAAGCATTCCCTTGTTAAGGGTTCTATAGTCCACACACATCCTTAATTCTCCCGTTTTTTTCTTCACTAACACAATGGGTGACGCATATTCCGATTCGCTTTCCCTAATAAAACCTTTCTCTATATACTCATCCAACAATTGTTGAACTTGCGTCTTTTCAGTATATGACAACCGAAATGGGAAATGGAACGGTTTCTCTTTTTCAAAGTTAAGTTTCATTTCACACTTTACATTTGGTAACATTGGCCTTTCTGCGTTTTTATATACTTTCTTGAACATGACTTCCATTTTTCCCTTAAGTTTATGACAACATTGCGTCCCCACTATTAAATTATCGTCTTCATCTAAAGACGGGTATTGCACTAGTAATAAATTAAAATTATCTTCGTTTGCTTTTTCTGCAACTTTGTTGCTATTTTCATTTTTGCACTGACCGTTTTCCTGTAGCTTCCCAGATACTCTATTTACATTAAAATTTTCGGACATAAAATTTGTCAGTTTCTCATTCGTTTTGCACACACTGTGTGTAACTTCATTTTCCGTACAATCTTTGTCAAAGCTTTCCATTTCTAGCCCTTTCCTTTTTATATTCTGGTTTTTCAAACTATCATTGCTTTCACTCGTATTTTCCCCACCTGAATTTATTAACCTGCCCTCCCCATCTATGCTATTCAACTCTCTTTTTTGTAAACTTTCACTTTCCAACCATTTCATTTCTATATACTCGTTTTCATTGTGAACACATTCTTTTTTAGAACAATCATTTATACTCCACTCATTCTTAAATAGCTTCACTTTCATCCACGTGGCTGCTGTACACTGGTTGACCTTTTATGTCAATTTTCTTTATCACGTCACTAAATTCATTTTCACTACTTTTACCAAGCATACTTTCCATTTGTTCAACGTTTAAATTATCTGTAGCAATATTGCTTACTATTTTGAATTTACATTTTTTCATGAAATTTCTTCCCAGTACTGCCTCATATCCCATCGATTCGTTTGGCACAACATACATTTCAAAATCATACTTTTCATTGCTTAATTTTTGCAATAACATTTAATCTACTTTTATTTAAACCAAAATAAACATGTCCTTCATCTATTTGTGGACCAAAACAACGTTTTAACAATTTTTCAAAATTACATTTATAAACTTCATTGTCAATACTCCTTTCCAGGCACGAAATTTTCACAAAGCTTATTGGGCTCCCCGAATCGATGAGACATTCTACAAACACGGACTGGTCATTAAAATGTTTAATATAAATGCTAAAATATCTTACATATTCATGACTTGCACGTTTATTTTCTGTGCAATGGGAGATCTGGTGGTCCATACTTCCACATCCATAGCAGGCTCCGCGCTCCCGCTTTGTCTTCAGGCACTCCGAAGCAAAATGGCCCAGTGAATTGCAGTTGAAGCAGCGCACCGCCATTGTACCAGATTTCTGTTCTGCAGTCTTGATCCAACGTTCCGGCTTGTTTCCCGACAGCTTTATGGTCTTAAATGCATGTAGGACTTGTGATGCCTGTGCAAAACCCTGCATTTGGGCTTGGCGCCGTAGTTGTTCATCCGGTATCCCTTCTATTATAGTCTCTGTTAATTCATCCTCATCGATGCTGATAAGCGAAGCTAGCAGCATTTTTTCGTTGAAATACTCAAGAAATTCTTCACCTGTCTTCCACTTGCGCGTTTCGAACTTTCGACGCAGGGCCATCTTGTTTTCCTTTACCGAGAAAGTCGTCAACATTAGTTCCAGCAGCTCGTTCATGGGCATGGTCAGGTGTTTTGTGTTACCATGCAGCCACATTTGAGCGCCATCTCTCAGCTTCGCCATTAGCAGCATTCGCAACATGTTGTCGTCGAGTTCATAAACAGCGGCCACAGACTTCAGTTGCGCAACCCAAATGTTTACAGGGCTCTTCCCATCAAACGATGGCAACATGTCTTTAACAACATTTATCAACATGTTGCCTGATTTGATGCTTAAGCCAGCGCCTTCGTGTGTTTCATTACTCTTTTCTCTCTCTTTCTCGTTCTTTTTATACCCTGTACCCAAAGGGTACAAGGGTATATTAGTTTTGTGCGAGTGCACATGGAACACACAGAAGGAGGCTTGGTAGACCCCAGAAAGTATATATATTCTTGATCAGCATGACAAGCCGAGTCGATATAGCCATGTCCGTCTGTCCGTCTGTCTGTCTGTATGAACGCAAGGATCTCAGAAAGTATAAGAGCTAGAATAACCAAACTTGTTATACAGATTCTCCTGAGACCGAGAAAGGACGAGTTTGTTCATTTTTTCTGATCCACCACCCCCACTCCCCCCCCTATTAACGATTTCCTATAACTCCCGTAATTCTTGGAATTTAAGCTAAAATTTGGTAGTCACATTAGGTTAGTGATTATATATCCGTATACCAAGTTTCATTATGATAGAATGATCGGAAAGAAAGTTATAGCCATATAACCAGGCCCAATGTACACATACATATTTATATTTAATTTAGTTAATTAATTAAATTTAGTTAATTAATTTAATTAAATTAATGAATTAATTTAATTACTTTTTTGTGGGGTGGTACAGGGTATTTAAGAGTTGAGCCTGCTCGACTTTAGCATTCCTTTGTTGTTTAGCATTGCATTTTCGAGTTTCAGCATATCTAACTGTAGTTTTAGCATGTTCAGTTCGTTCTTTGCTCTACCCTGGCCGTTATCGCCGTCTGCATTATGCTCATCGTCACGTGTTTCAATTGCCCTGCACGGATCTTCGGCGCCACAACCGCCGTCGCCAGCACCCACTTCTTGCTCGTCCGTACCATCTAGCGACCCTCTTTGCATTTTTTGGAGCGCCGCTGCAGCGTGTTCTCTTGATGGGCACTCGACGCGGAATTCAGTTGGAATTTGACTTAAGCGCACAGCCAGCTCCGTTTTGTCGCCGTCCGACGGACACTTCAACAGCATCAACCACATTCTCAACTGTGACGTTGAAAACTCATCGGCACATATCTCTTGCATTGTTTTCTGTGTTAATTAACAAATATAAAATTTTTTCACTTTGTCGGCGATATTTTAGGTTGATCCCACTTCTGAATAATTGTGGCCGAGACAATTATTAAAGGCGCGTTGTTTCGCGTTTTCAATCTAATTTTATTGTGCCGCTCTTTCCTTCAGTGTGACCTTACAACCTTATCTCGATTACACCAGAGCCTTTGACACTTAACTATACTATACATTTCACTAATACTTAATACTAAAACATCCATGTCACATACTATTTATATAATTAATACTACAACTATATTTTCGTATCAGCATTTCCTTGATTATCAGTATGTCTCAGCATAGTGTCGTATTAAAATTCGTTTGATTCGTTTAACTAGGTACCGGTTTATTTGTTGTTTCAAGGTGGCAGATATTGTCAAAGTAGTTATATGTGTATTCTCGTATAAAAGTTAATTTGAAATTGGGTTTAATTAGGTATTGGTAATCTGTCACAGTATATTGTCGTTCGTATAAAAGTTAATTTATAAAAAAAAGTATTTCTTAAAGTATTCTCATATTATTACTGGTAGATTGATTGATTGATTGATATATTGTAGTGTTTCCTTGGCTGACACCAACTGCAAAAATAACAATAATTGTATCTACATTATATATTGAATATTAAATTGTAGAAGAATACGCAAAAGTTTGAAATCGGTTTTTATAGCCTGTACCCAAAGGGTGAAAGGCTATACTAGTTTTGTGCGCATGTATGTAACACACAGAAGGAGGCGTGAAAAACCCCACAAATTATATATATTCTTGATCAGGATGAGAAGACGAGTCGATATAGCCATGTCCGTCTGTCCGTCTGTCTGTATGAGCGCAAGGATCTCAGTAAGTACAAGAGCTAGGATAACCAAAATTGGTATCAAGGTTCCTATAAGCCCTAGGCAGAACGAGTTTGTTTATTTTTTCTGATACACCCCCCCACTCCCCCGCAATTCGTATTTTTTCGTATAACTTCCGTAATTCTCGGAATTTTAAAATCAATTTTGGTAGGTACATCTAGTTAGTACTAATGTGTCCGTGTGCCAAATTTCATAATGATAGGTCAATTCTGAAGAAAGTTATAGCCATAAGTAAAATCGCTGCTCATGCGCTGCTCATGCGCTGCCTGCAGCTCTGTAGGCAGCGCTGCCCGCAGCTGTTGTTGTTGTTGCTGCTTTTGTTCAACTTTGTGCTGCATACATACACGCATATAAACACGCATAGGTACGTGATGTAAATGTATGCTGTTTAAACTGAACGTAAACATATATTCTAATTTAATTTAATTAATTATTTTAATTAATTAATTCATTCATTTTTTATAGCCTGTACCCAAAGGGTGAAAGGCTATACTAGTTTTGTGCGCATGTATTTAACACACAGAAGGAGGCGTGGCAGACCCCACAAAGTATATATATTCTTGATCAGGATGAGAAGTCGAGTCGATATAGCCTTGTCCGTCTGTCTGTCCGTCTGTCCGTATGAACGCAAGGATCTCAGAAAGTATAAGAGCTAGAATAACCAAACTTGGTTTCCATATTCTCCTAAGACCGAGAAAGTACGAGTTTGAGTTTTTTTTCGATGCACCCCCCCCACTCCCCCGCAATTCGTGTTTTTTCTTATAACTTCCGTAATTCTCGGAATTTTGAAATCAATTTTGGTAGGTACATCCAATTAGTACTAATGTGTCCGTATGCCAAATTTCATCATGATAGGTCAATTCTGAAGAAAGTTATAGCCATAAGTAAAATCGCTGCTCATGCGCTGCTCATGCGCTGCTCATGCGCTGCCTGCAGCTCTGTAGGCAGCGCTGCCCGCAGCTGTTGTTGTTGTTGCTGCTTTGGTTCAACTTTGTGCTGCATACATACACGCATATAAACACGTATAGGTACGTGATGTAAATGTATGCTGTTAAAACTGAACATAAACATGTATTCTAATTTAATTAAATTAATTAATTCATTAACTTTTTTTAATAATTTAATTTTTTTTTTAAATTTTTTTTTTTAATTTTTCTTTTTTGTGGAGAGTACAGGCTATTTTAATGTCGGGCTTGCTCGACTGTAGCGTTCTATCTTGTTTAATAATTTAATTTTTTTTAATTTTTTTTTTTTAATTTATCCTTTTTGTGGAGAGTACAGGCTTTTTTACTGTCGGGCTTGCTCGACTGTAGCGTTCTATCTTGTTTAATAATTTAATTTTTTTTAATTTTTTTTTTTTAATTTATCCTTTTTGTGGAGAGTACAGGCTTTTTTACTGTCGGGCTTGCTCGACTGTAGCGTTCTATCTTGTTTTTTTTTTTTGTTTAAATTGTTGTTTATTTTTGGATTTTTAGTGAATGTGAAGTACACTAACTAATGTGTATGAATATGGGTACACCTAATAAACGTGTTTCTCATATGAGGCAGCGCCGCTTAAATGAAGCAAAAGAAGTCATGGAGAAACTCCTCTTTCAACAGAGGAACTTTTCATGTTCTAAAGAATTCGTCGTGGATATACAAAGACTGAATCGAGCATTTTTTGGTTAATAATAACCATCTTTACAGAGATGTTCGGGTGCATTTTGAAACAACCTTAAACATTCATACCTCACTTAGACCAAAAAGTCACAATTCCTGTTACTTTAGAATCATCATTGATACATTGTATCACTTTAAATGACAACAAGGAATTGACAAACAAACATAAAATTCAGTCGAATTTAGAACATTATCTTCTTTAGAATTTGTTAAATTACTTGGAACATTAATTCAAGGTGATTTAAATTCAATTTATCTTAAGGTAAGTGAATCTGAAGTACGTTAACGAATTTTTCTGAATATGGGAAGACCTACTAAGCGTGCTGCCATCGTGGTATTCAGCGGAGTTTAATTTGTGGTATCAGGTTTCTTTTTGTGAACTAACCATAAACATGCGACAGCGGGATGACAGCTTACGGGTAGGTGAATTGACGACGGCTCAGCTTGAGTTATTATGCGAGCGAACCCACAAGCCTTTAAATGGTGAATTTGCGGATGGAGCCGCCGTTCGCATTTTTCCCACGGTGAGGCAAGTCGACGATTATAACGACAAAATTAGCAAGGACAATACAAAGCTGCATCGAACTTATCAAATCAACGCAGTAGATGAGTCTCGTGAAGTAGCGACATATGGAAGAACACCACCAGAGGACGTAATTCCCAAAGACGTTAATAGCTGTAGTGGTTTTCTGCCATCGATAAAAATTGGCGTCGAATCCCGAGTGATGTTGAGACGCAACATCGCCGTATTAGAAGGACTTGTGAATGGAGTTATGGGTATAATAAAATATATCAAATGGTCAGCTTTGAGGGGAGATCAACTGGAGGATGGAGAGCTACCAGAAGCCGTGTACGTGATGACGAATCTCTTTGGCTTAGGCTTAAAGATAATAATGGTTGCATACCCATACCTCCATCTAGTACTACGTTTCAGGCATTGCATTACGGAGATGTGGAGCGCCGTATGCTGCCTCTAATATTAAACTGGGCGGTTACAGTCCATAAACTACAGAGTACAACCCTCCAAAGAGCTGTAATCGACCTTGGTAAAAAGAACTTTGCAAAAGGGCAAATATATGTTGCACTGTCATGTCAAAAGTTTGGAGGGCATAGCTTTATCAGATTTGGACGCCAACAAATTATTAAATAGACCACACGATGATAGATCATTGACGGAAATGACGAGACTACGAAATCTGTCTTCCGACAGTGAAGATCATACTTAAATGAGACAGTGGAGTAGGCCTAAAGGGGATACCACGTTAAAAAAAGCGCATCGAATCGTCTACCTCTAAGGTGGTGTGGAAATGAGGAAATGTGATTGATTTGTTTATTTAAAATGCTATTTATATATAAGAATATGTAATCAAAGAAATAACTAATAATAATAATAATACCTACTAGTAACCATATAATTTTGTTTTCATTTTATTGATTATATAAAAGCGCACCCTCTAGCTCTACGGTGGTGTGGAAAGGAGGAAATAT